CCCCCCCTCCCCCCGGGGCAGGGTGGATGCAGCCTCCCAGTCCAGCTCAGCAAGGCCTGACTCACAGGCCCGCCCACTACCTGGGCTCCTATTAAGTTATCAGGAAAAGCAGCAGCGGCAGAACAAGACCGGCCTGTTGACGCACTGGAAGCCCAGTCCAGCCCATCATCGGAGCAGGTGCCTCCCCACCCAGTTCCGAATCCCAAGCTCTCTGCCCATCTGTGACCTCTGTTTACACAGGTGGACCCCCGGTCTCAAGGCCTCTCTTCAGAAAGAGGGTGGCAAGCCCTGGCTGGGTGGCTCAACTGGCTGGAACGCCATCCTGTACACCAAAAGGTTTCAGGTTTGATCCCCAGTCGGGTGCTTACAGGAGGCAACTAATTGACGTTTCTCTCTCACATTGATGTTTCTCTCTCTCCCCCCCCCTTCCTCTCTCTCTAAAATCAATAAAACATGTCCTAGGGTGAGGATTGAAAAAGAGGGTGGCAGCAAGGGGGTCCCCCATCCCTCTCATCCCTGGGGGCCTGCTGCCCACTCTGGGCCAGAGGGAGGCACAGCATGGTGGGCGTGATGACAAAGGGGCACCTGGCACCACCAGCTCTGAGGGGCTCATGTCCCCCTGGCTTAATTCTGGCCTGTGAGCAAGGGGCACAGAGCAAAGGTGACTTCCCATCCTGGTCGGCATCCCCAGTGCCCACGGTATCAGAGGACTCAACCTAGGGTCCCTCTGCAGGTCGGGGGGTGTCCTCAGCAGCTGTTCCCACAAGAAGGCAGGTCAGTGAGCCAAGCTCACGGCAACCACAGTCCACCCTCAGGCTCCCCTTGGGGGCCAGGTGTGCAGTGAGTGGGTCAAGCGCAGGTGGGTGGGAGGTGATGGTCTGTGCAAGTTCTCCAGAAGCACGTCTCAGGTTCTGAGCCAGCTGAGAGAGGCCAGGAGCACCACCCCCAGAGGTAGCAGTCAGGGGCCAATAGGCCCAGGTCACATGCTGTGTGATCAGACCCCAAGCCTGGGCACACGTGACCCATCTTAGAGCTGTGCCCTCTCCTAGGGTCATGGGCCCTGGGCCCTCGGCTGAGAGCAAAGGACAGAGATGGAGACCAACCATCTTAGGCGCTCTACCCTGGCTCACTCCCAGCCCCACTGCAGAAGGTATGGGAACCCCAGTGGCCCTGGGGGAAGGTGGGCAGCAGCCTCCAGACTCTCCCACCAGAAGCCTCAATGAGCTGATACCATCAACAGCTGAGCTAATAAAGCTCCACCCGGGAGACTTCCCTCTTATAATTCTGAGCTTTACAAAGCGTAGGTCACCTTTGTGGAAAATCCAGTCTGTGGACGCCAAGAGAAGCAATCTGGAAACAATTATTAATCGGAGTTGGGCTCATAAAGGCTGTGGAATGCACTGGTTTCAGACGCATCCAATCTCTTTTCCTTATGGGGAGACGGGGAGGGGTGGCCAACGGGCTGGTTGGAATTCTGGCCCTGTCTCATGGAGAAGGGAGGACTGGGGTGTGGACGTCCCAAGAAGATTACTCTGGAATGTGCACAAAATAACAGGGTGAGGGGGACAGGCCAGGGGCCAGGCAGGGACCCCAGTAAGGACGTAGGGACCCTGGTGATGTTGGCAGGTGCAGGAAGGAGGGAGTGGGCAGGTGCATTCTGTCAGGACCTCACCATTCAAGGGGTTTGCAAGTGGTCAGACGAACCCTGGTCATGACTGCCCACAAGGGCGACCGGGTGACATACACAATTTCTAAAGAGAAAACCATATGTGTGGACTCCCCCCAGGTCAGCTGGTAATTGGTGGTAGATGCAGCATTTTAAACGGGGGTGAAGAGAAGGGAGAAACCAGACTGTTGTGACGTGGCCAGAGCGTGGCTGGAATGTGGCCAGTGTTTGCTGAGACCAAGCTGGAGCTGTCGGCTAAGGTTCTGGAGCTGCCTCCAATGATCCCAACAACCTCCAAGCTCACCCAGAGCCCCAGGCCCCAGATGACCTGCCCTAGCTGGTCACCAGCGTCTCCTCCTGTCCTGCACCCTCTCGACCTTTTCCTCCCCAGGAAGGTCACACCCTTCCACCCCAAAATGGGTAAGGCAAAAAATAATCACACAATAATTACAGAGGCCAGAGAAGCCACTGGTGCAGGAAATATACAATCCTTGCAAAAATACAAAGTTCTCTCCTTTTCTGTCTCCACTCCCACTGGGCTGGGGTCACCGCCTCCCTGCCCGGCAGTCTGTGCCTGTCTAGGGGCTACCTGCCTCTCCATTCTTGGCTATTGGTGTGTCTCGGTTTATCGAGGAAGCTGACTTCGCAACCCAAGCAGACACGAGGCTGACACGCTTGCTGTAAACACTCCCAGCCGAACCCTCAGGAGCTGCAGTGGGCGGGCGCAGCTCACATACGCCTCCTGCCAGGACTCCAGCCCGGGAGTCTCTTCCTCTCAAGCCAGCACAAACGAGCACTTGTGACTCGTCAGTGGGGATGAGGCAGGTGCTCACCTCCGAGTGACATGACGGGCTCCGGTGTCATCAAGGCCCTGGGCGGTGGCAGCCAGGGCCAGAACAGGACAGAGTTGGGAGCCACACTTTCTTCTGAGAGCCGCCTGGCCCGGGGACATCAGGGCCGCCAGATGGCCAGCGCCGGCATTCCACATTTCCTACCCATTCCCCGGGCATTAAAGGCTTAGGGGCCCGTGCCCTGATGAAAGGCAAACACCCCTCGGAGAAGGGGCACCAACCTACCCCAGATCCCTGCTGCCCTCCTCACCCTCAGGAAGGGGAGGTGCTGGGCCCAGCTCCCAGAGCCCTGGGTGCCTCAGTCCCCATCCCAGGTTCTCACAGTTGCTGCCCCAGATACCGGCCACTGGGCAGACGAACACACGCCCACCATCTGCAGGGCACCGTGGCCCTGAGCACCCAGAGTTAAGCAGACATCCCAGGGCCAGGTGGGCCTGTGTCGAGGGTAACAATGGAACCCCTGACACTCCCCTCACAGACCTGGCCACCCCGGCCAGCTCAGGCCCTCCTCCCTGCAACCCCTCAGGAACCCAGGGCAGCTCAGCCACCAACCCCACAGGCCTCTCCCAAGCTCACTCACTGTGCCTGGGGCCTGAGGGGCACAGCCCTGCCCCCGGGAGGAGAAGACAACCTGAGCACTGGCCCCGGGCTTGGAGTCGTCCAGGTTGTGACCAGAAACTCCAGCCTGTGCCACGAGTGTTCAGGTGTGCAGCTGTAAAACTTACACCCCCGGCCTGCAGGGACCACGGGGCGAAGGTGGAACAAAGCTCCAGCCAGGACAGAACATGTGACCAGCAGCCAGAAGTCTGACATTTAGTCAGTAAAAGGAATGACAACAAGTTCCCAACATCTGCTCCAGTCAACAGGCTACCACCACAGTCAGAAACGTTGAATTTGGTGACCGGTTTTTTCCTGATTTCGAGTTTACCTTGAGGGCCCCTGGAGCAAGCCTCCTCACAGTGATCAAGACAAAGGCTGCAGCCGATGCCAAAAACCTCGGCTAGTTCCTGGGTCAGTAGAAATGTCGGGGCAGTCTGACTGGTAGCAGCACCCACTTCAGCTCAGTCATAATTAGTCCGTGGAAGAGGAGCATATCAGGGAGCGAGGGCCTGTCACAGCTCCGGCCTACAGCCATTCTCGGGGACGCTGTTACCCTCCGGAAACACAATCCTGGGAGACGCATGTTTTGCAAGGTCCAAACAAGAACTTTGCAGAATGCTGACAACACACCTTACGTCCAACACCCACGACACCGCACAGGTGCCCCCCAGGAGGGCCCATCTGCTGGCACCGTGGCCGCCCTCAGACGCCTATGGGGCTACCTAGGCAGACCCACCAGGTCTGAAGCACACACCTGAGGAGCTTCAACAGAGGCTGGGCTGAGGAGGGGCGGAAGAAAATCAGAGAAATCTGGCAAATGAGAAGGACCAGGGCTGCAGGAGGGGAGTGGCCCGGGAGCCCACACCACCAAACCCAGGCATCACTCACCTGACAGAGCATGCAGGTCCGACCCAGCACGCCGGCTGCTCAGCTCATACTGGAAGCCGGTAGTCCTCCTGCTGATGTCCTGCTGGGGCGTTGCCTCCACGAACAGGCCACCCTGCTCGAAGCTGAAGCAGCGCACCTGGCCGGGCCCACGGTCCCCATCCCGGAACAGCAGTTTCAGCGCTCCAGTTTTTTCCAAATAAATATTGGCCCCGGAGGAGTCTCTGAGGGGCTTGATGCACAGAGTCAGGTGTCGGGAGGGCGAGAAGATGTTGGGCCGAAGGTTGACGCTGAGAGCCCCAGTCGGGTACATCCACTCCACGGCGCCTGTGGAGCAGCGCAGGTACACCTGCTCCACCTCCTTCCGGTGGGCCTCGTGCGTCAGCCCGCTGCGGAGGGAGACAGCGTGAGCCAGGGTCCTACCGGGGCAGGCCAGCACCACCTCCACCCCGAAGCACTGGCCGCTCCCAGGGAGGGGCAGCCTGAGCTCTGATACGTGCAGCTGGAATTTCGCCCCCAGACCCTCCCCACACCTGGATGCTCAGTGTCTGCTGGCCTGCTAGGCTGCACCAGCAGGTGCCCCAGTTCTCAGGGTTTCCCTGAGTTGGAGAGGCTGATGGGTGCAGTGCAGGTGAAAACCAAGGAAAGGATAGATCTTCCAAAATATAATCAAGGAAACACCAGGAGGACTTTGGCACCAGCGCAAGTTCCAGACGACCAAGCCAGGGCTGGGAAATGATGGTGGTTCCCACCGAGCGTGAAGGACAGAGCCAGCTCGGACAACGGCAGGTGCCACCAGGGGCGCACAAGCATAAGTCCCTCGCTCCAGAGAGTAGCTCAAGAACCAATGAGGAATGTTAGCCATTTGGAGGCTGGAGGCCATAGCTGGGTTTTCTTTTAGCGCCTCACAGTCAGGCATACGTTCTGTCTTTTCCTCACTGCTTTTTCACTCATTTGCAAACCGGAAGGCCCTCCATTGATGATCAAATGTCAGCAAAGATGAAAGTAAGGTGAAAGTCCTCCCCAGGGGATGGACAGAGGGAAGCTGGGAGAAGCCAAAGGTTAGCTACACCTCATCTTCCCAACGGGAATTTCTAGAGAAGCAAGTTAATTCCACTCCTAATAGATGCCGAACAGGAAAGAATGGAGTATGCTACACTCTTGGTGCGACAGGTCTTGAGTAAAGTCATTACACTATGTTTTCAAGAAATTGAAACCATCAAAAATGTTAAAGTTTCTTTCCCCTACTTCAAATTTTAATGTCTATGTCAGCTTGTGCAAATGGTTACATCATAACTGCCAAGCAGCCCTGGAACTCAACCTGTGACTTCAACTAAGTGTTTTCTTACAGAAATTTGGTTCTGCAGGTTCACCCACATTCTTGGGATTTTTACATGGAATAAACAAAGCCACAGTGTGTTACCAGAAACCCTGTCTGCAGAGGAGAAAACACAGAACATATGGTTTGCATTTACTGTTGGTGACTCATGCTCCGGGCTCCAAAAAAACCTCACTTTTCATACGACAGCCAGCTGCAGTCTGGGGCTGCACAGTCATCCTGCAGACCACATCAGGGGGAGGTGTCAAGGAGGTGAACCCCTCCTAACTCTGCTCCCTGCCCCTCACGCCCTGGGTCATGAGCAGCTAGCCCAGCCTCAAATGCCTACCAGGGCTGCGTGCACACAGAACAGACTTAGAAATTACAGTCAAATAAAACTCATACAAGCTCATCTGACACACATGTGGGGATGGGCATAATTATAGTGCTGTATGAAAAATTAGACTAAATGGTGAGTGGCTGCCACAGATCATTTTAATCAGCTCTGCTCTTATGCAGCCAAAACAAACTTTATCATAGTGTCCCTTCTCTCCGATCTTCAGCCTCAAGGGGCAGTTGGACACTTGCCCCATGCCCAGGCACCAATTCTCAATTCTCTCTACAACAAAAACTGTTCTGTCCAAAGCTTCACATCTCTCTCAGTGGGGCAAGCTGGGCCCTGGGGGTCCGGGGAGTGAGGAACTCACACCAGAGGCTTTGGATCCCTCACTAAGTCACCTTAACCCAACAGTGGAGGGGGAAATAGGGAGGGCCACCCTCCACCCACATCTCAGGCAGGGGCAGAGGAAACCCTCTCGGGGCTGCCCAGGGGAGGCAGACCTGGGTCTGGGGGCTGCTGACTCCCAGCCTGTATATATGACCATGTACATTTCATGGGGTGCAACCTGGCTCTGGTTAGTCATAAGTCATTCTCAACTAAGAGAACTAGGAAAAAAATTAAGGTGGACAGGCAAGAAGTACGGCTCCCCTTTACTTCACCCTTTAATTAGCATCCTCACTGGCCCACAGAGGAGGGTCTGCACCCATCTCCTGGCATACAGGGCTCTGCCCAGCCTGCTAACGCACCGAGATCACCAGGAATCCATGAGGCACTCAACACAGAGTGTTCACACTAATGTCAGTCGCATGTGGCATGTGAGACCCCCATTTGGACAAACGCCTACTCAGTCCTCCAGTCTCTCAGCCTGGGACCCACTGGCTCTTTCAACAAGGTTGAGGAATCCTGGCCTGTCTGGTTCCTTCCAGAAAATACAGCCACACTGCTCACTTCCACACTTCCAGCATCACAGCAAACCTGAAAAAAACTTCTATTTATGCAAAGTGCCTGGAGGTGCAAAAATGCACCATGTCCGAATGGTCATTGATGATGGCATATCACAATATTCACATGATATGCAAGTGACATGCTAACCAGGAAAAAAAAAAAAGCAACTGTTTTCTGACGTGATGGGTCAGCAGCAGGCTGCAGAGAAACTGTGGCTCTCTTCAACCTTAGGGAGTGAGAAAACGGAAGGCTGGTTTGACCTTGGGGTTTTTAAACCGAGTTAATGCACTTTCCTTTTTTTAAAAAAGAGTTGGCAAGCGTCACTGCCCAGATGGACACACCTGTGGAGCACCTTTATGGAAAAGACAGCAGATCCCGCGTTGACATGGGGACTTTCCGAAGGAGTCGGTTGGAGTGGTGGCAGCAGAGCCCACACCACTCACCCCCACAGCCTGGCTCAAACCCTGAGTCACCAGAAGGAAATTACGGGCTCTTGTTTACTAAGAAAGGAAGAGTTTCAGGCCAAGCCCCAGGCAGGAGAGACAGCCCAGGTGTGACGTACCTGCAGGGCCCGGCCCGAGCAGTCGTTCACCTTTATGACCACTGCCTAATAAACATGGGGCACTGTCCTGCCCATGAAAAGGGGCCACTAACTTCAAAACCACCTACTTAGTTCAGCTGGTCAGAGCACCGTCCGGATACACCAAGGTTCAGGCTCAACCCCTCGTCAGGTCACATACAAAAGTCAACCAGTGATGCAGGAATGAGTGGAGCAACCAATTGATGTTCCTCTCTCTCTCTCTCTCTCTCTCTCTCTCTAAAAATCAATAAAAACAAAACAGAACAAAACAACGCCTACTTCAGTGCTTGGAAACACATTTCAGCCTGTGAACTGTGAGTGCCCAATGTCATAAAGAGCAACTCCCTCCCTATCAGGGGATCAGAATCCACCCGCACTTCAGGCGAGCACCACCCTGTGCTGTCTTTACAACAACTCATAAAAGTCATAAAGGTTACAGTCAGCAGGCAAACCAGCACACCCAGCTCCCCAGCAAGTAGCATACTGATCACCGGGGGCAGCAATCACAGCTCCACAGGGGCTCATACTCCAGGAATGTGGCCGGCCAGCTTCTCTCCAGATCCCACCTGATGGCTCTGCAGGGGCCTCTACCTTTGGGCTCAGTGGAAGAGCTGGGGGGAGTCAGTAACCCGGTACTTTAGCAATGAAGGAGGGAGAGGGGCTGCAGGTAAGTGCCTCGGCTTCTCCAGGTAGATGAAGGATGCACGGGAATGCAAAGGTGAAGGAGGCTCCTCTTCCCACTGCAAACACCTGCTGGGTCCGGGAGCTGGTTGGCCCCTGACCAGCCCTCACTCACAACTGCCTCTGGGCTCAGCCCCCTCCAGGCGAGAGTGTTAGCTCCCCCTCTGGAAACTCAGGCTCAGGAGGTGGGACTGAATTACTGCGTTTGATCTGAAGCAGGACACCCCGAGGCCTCAGTTTGGGGGTGCACTGATTCATTCAGCAGAGGCTGCAAAGAGGGAGTTTAATTACTAGCACGAGGGATAGCGCTGCCCCAGCAGAGGGTGTCAGAGTCAGAGGCTCCCAGCCAGCTCCGTGCTGGCGCCAGCAAGCTACAGGCCAAGCCTCCCCCCGTGGGCCAGCCGGCCCCTGCGCCCATCCCTGCTCCGCTGTGACGTAGGGGCCGGGCTGGGCTGCAGCCTCGGGACCCCAGGACCTTCGCTCTAGGAGGGGGGAAAGGGAGGGAGAAGGGGCCAGGTAATTGCTGGTGTCCGCAGAGAGCCGGTCCCTAAGCACCACCGTCACCAGCGGCCGCCCCGCCGGCGCGGAGCCGCGCACCGGCCCAGCCCGGCCTCCGCAGAAAGCCGTCCCCGCTCGGGATGAACCCGCTGAAGCTTAGGAACCACGAGGTGCCTGCAGCGGGCTCCTCCACTCCGACAGGCCGGCGTTGCTGGGGCCCGCTCCCGGACGCCGGCCCCGCGCTCGGAGCTGCGCGTCGCGCGCACAAACTCCCGAGTCGGCAGCTTCCAGCCGCGCCC